CATCACAAAAATATTTTACTAATACTTTGAGAAAGAAGTATGATATATGGATTATATGTCTGATACCATCGTTATCATATGTTCAATATAATAAATCATTTTGTGGTGAATCCAGACACTTCTTTCTAATTTGTTCGGTCCGACAATGAATCTCAACGTAGCTAACATGTCTCGCGACATTTTACCACTTGGCGCACGGAAGCTGATGGCATCCCCGGAGGTGGCAACTACGTCCGCGACGTATATTTATGTAATGTAAGTATAGTATATGATAATATAAATATAATGATATATGTAAAATATATATAGTTGTTGTAATGACATAGCTATGCAGTACATATCATATATGTACATTATTATACGTGAATTACATATTATGTACTATGAGTATATATAGTCAATATATATATATATATTCGATATAATTATATATATTTATATATGTGTGTTGTGGTCGTGTTTGTTGTGTGTGTTGTTTGCTGTAAATAGTGAGGCCATATGCTAACGATTGTAGTTATATATCTATATCACGAGATACGAAAGATAATTTACACATTGATGTGTCGTATGCAGAGGGCGCCCCGTCCCCTCGCCTCAGGCACAGGCTTCGCGCCAGACGCGGCGACCGTCCTTGCCGGCCGCGCATCCGCTCATTTCCTCGAGTGTCGGTCCGCGGGAAGGGAGAGCCGATCTGGCTGAGTCAACTATTTTTTGCGTGGCCATTGCGTCGTCCTGCTGACGTCTGATTTGTTTGCTGTAGTTGGCGTTGATGTGTGGGGTGTGGCTGGGTTGTGGAACGTGGGGCGCCGTATCATGGGCTTGCCATGCAACGCATTTTTTGGGCCGGTGCCCATTGTCGGACGCTCGCTCTCTCGTTGCTAACATGTTGGCCGAATTGTTAAACTGGAATCAGGTCACCTGGTTGAGGATGGGACAGTACTAATGGACCGATATTGTAAGTTCCGCCCCGCTCTCATTGGCCGAGGGGGCACTGGTGGGGCCGCGAAGATGTCTATCTGCGGCTTCAGTCAGATCGATTTTTATTCTAGACGACGGCTGCAATGATCACTAACTATCAGTTGGCCATTTTGGAAAAAAGAATGTAAAAGAGTGGAGACATGAAGCTATTTGTTACATCTTGGCTGGCGAGCAGCTTTGTTGTTTCTTTCTAGACCGTATCTCTAACAATTTGACATTAGTAAAGTCTAATGCGAGTATGCATGCTGTTCTCTTTGCATTCTATTAATCACACACCACAAATATATATAAGTAGATTTACGATGAATATATTATATCAGTCTATGTATAGATAGCAGGATATATATGGAGTGAGGTGGTCTATATATATGATTATGTAGTGTGGCAGGTAATATTTCTCAATTGAATGGTTGCTGATACGCATATGGTGTAGGAAGTAGGACGGGGTGAGCGAGTGGTAGTAGTATTATACATTTATATAGAACGCTATAATGAGTACATATTAGTGAAAACATTATATTACAGTATAAATTATACATATAAGACAGTATATATATAATAGTATATATATAAATAGATATATTGACATATACATACAAGCACTACCCAATATCCTGAGCACAGCACACACACACACGACACACACACCAAGCATATATAATATATTATGTATATATAGAAGGAATATGAATATATATATATATAATATAATAGATATATATATATACATAGACATATATATAGTAAGCATATGATACATATATATGATATATACAATATTACAATATAATATTACATAATCTCATATGAGTATATTTACATATACAGGATAATATTTAGATATAGGATATACGATATATGATATAGATGATAGATATATATAGATATAGGATATATATCTATATAAGAAGTATAGTTATATATATATACATCTAAAGTATAGCAATATATAAATGTATATGTAAAGTATAGATATAAGTATATATTATTGATGATATATATGATATATATATATATGTAATATAGTATAATGTAATAAATATATACAGAAGTAAAGATGATATACATGTAATAGTAACATATAATACATATAGATATATATATATTACTTATGATAACAATATTATAAGGTATATATAGTATGGTATAGGTTAATATATATATATCAAGTAATTATAGATATATATATGGGCATAATGAGTAATATTAGGAGTATATAATTGAGTAAGAGTCTGGGATGTGAGCGATACTACGTGCAATAATATAGCGTTGTGATTAGGTTATAATGTTTTAAATAGGTAATATAATAATGGGTAAATATAATATAGTCGTGCATGAATATAGACGTATATAGGGATATTAGTAATATGTTAGTATAATATATATATTATATAATAGTAGATGGTTATTATAAGATGATTGAGTATAAGATAATATATATATATAGTAATCATATTATAAATGTAAGGAAGAGTCTATATGTAGTACGTCTACATAATAGTAATATACTAATATATATTAA